ACATCAAGATCGAGCGCGTTGCTGCCAATGATCTTCCGCAAGGCTTCTTGTTTTGCTCAACAGACGTCAGCCCTTTGGCGGCCACTCAGTTCATGATTTCAGTCAGACATTTCATGTGGACATGACATAATCTATACTCTATGGGATTGATTTCGGCCCCTTTCGAGCTGTATCGATGGATCCAGCACAATCCAAACCATGGTTTTGTGCAGCATGTATGCAAGGAATTCTGGGTGGGACCACGGCTCACGCCAAAGTGCAGTGTGATCACTTGCACATTGGCTTTGATTCAGCAGGGCAAGCCAGAGAGTGTGCAGATGCAGTTTCAGCAGGTCTACATCGACAAGCGCCGCGCCGCGCTTGCAGAGCAGATAGCTGGTTTGAAGGCAGAGCTTGCCGCGTGCGAGGAGGAGTTGTCGAGCGTGGACAAGTCAGATCCCTCACGTGGCCAAAAGCGTGAAAGCCAAGGTGGACCTTCGTCGAAGGAGGGGCTTTTGGGATGTTTTGGCAGGTCTACATGACGAATGCCCCAAACATGTTTTTAACAGTGCGTGCACCATGGCTTTGGGGCATTGGGTTGTCAGCGAAGATTACTTTAGATCAATTGTCGCATGCTAGATGGAAAGACGGAGAAGAGACAAAGGGGCAGAGACCATGAAAGACAGACAGACAGATCGATAGATGTATCAACCGAGTAGATAGATAGATAGATAGATAGAAATGCTATATCATATGCAAATACAAGTCAACTACTATGCATATGTCCACATCATCTAATTCTCCATCTAGACCTAAATCCATAACTCTGCTCCAACTGCCGCTGTATCCGTATATTTATCTATGTATCTAGCTATTCGTACGTATGTATATATATATGCAAATATATTTCTAACTGCCTTGTCTTACCGTATCCTATTTTCTTGTCGCGTCTCTCTATCTATCGGCTTATCTAGCTATCTTTCTTCCTACCTCTCTATCTATCTATGTATCTATGTATCTATGTACGTATCTATCTACCTATCTACCTACCTACCTATCTACCTATGTACAGAGAGACAAATGCTTATGTGTAGTCAGGTGGCCAGGTGTAGCCATGGATATATATATATATATACATATATATATATAACACATATGATAAATACATGAAGCTTTCCGCCGGCGCTGCGAGGATACCCCCATTAAGAGCCAGAAAGTGGGAAGCGATGTGAAGGAGAGGGCGAGTTTGGTTTTGGTTTGTTAGTAGTGAGTCTTCCTGTCAATTTGATGCCCTTGCTTTGTGGAGCAGTTGTGTGGGTTGGATGCCCAAGAAAATACGGATGCCCCGGACATAGTTTGAAAAGTTGTTTCCACGTGTGTTTGGGGCATTGCTTCGGGAATGGCTTTTGTGATCGGAGAGTTTTGGTGCATGTGATTGTCTCATTCAGTTTGATCTGCGTGTGCATATGTTACTGATGGACTCGGCTTTCAAACATGGCCCGTTTTCTATCAACGGCTGTTTTTGGCACCAGTCTGTGCACTTCCGTGGTTGCAAGGAGCCCAGCGGGCAGAGTCAGTGAAGCCATGCGGCAGCTTCGGAGCGGCGGTTCACGCCGTCATGGACTTCTACCAGGGTTACTTGTGATAGCTGCCTTTCGGAATGTTTTTGAGGGCTTCTTCTGCCAAGAGAGCCGTACTTTTTTGAGAGCCTCTTGCCAAGACTGGCATTGATCGCGGCCGGTAAGATGGAAAATATAGTGCCTATTTTTGGAGGCCGATCGGATCGGGTGGTGTTTCCGTTTCGGTGGTGACTGGTGTCAACCGACTGGTGCGACGCGTGCATGGAGGGTGGCTGGATCATGCTGGATCCTAAGGTATCTATAGTGGAGGGATCATCCCCTTATTCCCTACTAGGCACAAGTCAGTCAATGTTATGTAGACTCCTTTGATTCACAAAGCCAAACTCCCCACATGAAGAGTTGGCCCGGCTCCCAGCGTTTGGAAGCAAGAGTTGGCTCGGGCCAGTCACTAAAGCTTGGCTTAAGAAAGGTTTCTGAAGCGACAGCGGCTGCGCGTTTGCACGTGATTGGTTTCTGCGCGTGGCCAGGTTGGTGCTGGATGCTTGGAAGTCCTTCCGGGCGGCCTCAAGGCGGATGTTTCTACCGGGTTGGGGGAGTTTCCTGATGTGGTGTCACCAGGAACCTGGAGGTCTTGGCCGTACCACAAAAGCGGCCCACGTGCTTTGCGGCCCACAACCTGGTATTCTGCTACTTTTTGAGTCATTTCTTACAAGGATGACCGGCAGGGTTGAACACATCTAAATGTATGGGTTTCACTTCACATAGGATCCCGGCACCATTGCGATTGTACCTATATGTTCATTCAAAAGGAATCCATAAACTTGCATCCGTTTTCGGCCCAGCAGCTTGGCTGAGATTATACCAGTCACGACACCGTTGTGATACCACACAGCCATGCCAAGATTGACGGTGGGGCAGATGGAAGATACAATAAACAAAGAGCTTGAGAGCGCTGGCATCAAACGAGAAGGTTTGGCAAAGAAGATTTGTCAAGCAGTTCGAGATCATGCCGAGACACCGAAGAAGCGCTCTGGACCGAGTGGATGGAAAGCGTGGACTGAGAAGAAGCAATGCATTCGGAATGCCCACAACAATCGGGATATTGCCACCCAAGACCTTCCAATCTTGGAATAGCTCCCGCTCAAGACTTGAAGACTTTCGAAAGAGTCGTTTTGTGTTCAGTCTGAGAGGCCCTCAGGAAGCCAGAGCACAGCCCCGAGCCTTGGTTGTAGCATGGTCCAAGCATAATATCAGTGTGTGATCTTGACACTGGTGTTGAAGTTGAGCTGTCTCTGGCCGGCCTGAGTCCGTTGTCTTGCCAAGTGCCCATCGCAAGGCATTTTGCTTGCAAGAAAAGTGTGCGTCGGGTATTTGGCTTTGAGAAGCGAAGTTGTCTATAGATTCTTTGGATGGATCTAGCCCCACTAGCATGCGCAACCTTGCCACACATGTGATGAGCGAATGGTTCAGATGGTACCATTGACGACGTTAGTAAGTAGATAGGGTTCGACTGTTGGCCTGTTTTTGTGGCAGACGTACGACCTCTGCCATTTCACTGGCTTAGCAATGCAGTCTCGGAGAACCAATGTTGTTTGTGGGTTTATGTTCTTCATGGTATCCCAGGGAGAAGATGCCTGTTCCTGAATTGTTTGGTAGCAAGTGCCTATCTCTTCGGTCACTTGATTGTGAGCTAGTTCCCCCACCTCTCTCAAAAAAATGAGCTGCTGTAGAGGACCTATCGGCCACTTCTCTCACTGTTCAGGCCGGAGACGAATATTTGCTCACTAAGTCACTAGACCCAATCTTCATCAGGCGTGCCTTCAATCGATTCATGTCCTGATGCGAAGAACTTGTTTTCCAACGTCATTCTCTCATCAGGTTTCCGAATCTTGTTTTCCACTCAGAATACCCCGGTCAGACCATGCTCCTGGAAATTGCAAAGCCACTCACAACTTTACATCTTTGCTGTCCTTCGGGCGCAGGTGCTGATCCTGGACGTCTCGTGTGGTGGAGAGCCGAGAAACGCAGGGTGCGCACAGAGCGTGATGAATTTTAAAAAAGACAACCTCTATTAGATAAGATATTGTTCAATCGTATTTGATTTCAGTTGGCGGCCTCACAAAAAGACATTTGTGTTGTTTAATGATTCTTGTTTGGTTGCTGTTGGTCAACAGGGTTGTTTCGCTTGGGTGTTCTTGGTCACGGGGCTTCTTCACTTACAAACATGACCATGCTACATCCTTTGGGGTGTGAAAATGTAGGGCCAATACAAGAACATGACAGTATATACAGGTATATACATACATATACATATGTATACATATGTATAAGTCTGTATATATGTGTGTCTGTGTGTGCATGTATGCATTCAGACGCGGCGTCATTGAATGAAATACAGTTTCATAGTTACGGCCACGATACATGCACACATACGCGCATATATACATATGTGTATGCGTTCAGACACGGCGTCCATTCAAACCCGCGTGCAGGCATTAGTGCGCGCGCGCGCGCGCGCATGATTGTGACACAATTATTCAAAATAATACCGTCACACATATACTGCATACCGTCATTTTAGAAGCTGATGTAAGCAAGCCCCCAAACAAGTGAATGCATGCGCGCGTAAGAGCGCGCAGGGACTATATGCGCGCGCATCGCGCGCACGCAGGCACTTGCGCGAGCGCACGCGCGCATGATGGTAACAATATTATCTTCAACAACGCCGAAAAACGTTTATTGATTCTATACTACGCCCTTAATTATAGAAGTTGATGCAAGCAAGCGACCAAACGAGTGAATGCCTGCGCGCGTAAGAGCGCACATGATTGTTACAAAATTAGTAAAAGCAATACCGTGAGACATTTGCTGCCTATATACCGTAAATATGGAAACTGATGTAAGCATGCACCCAAACAAGTGAATGCATGCGCG